TTATAGAATTTACAAGAAAAGTCCTAAGTGTTCATTGTCAGCTCAAAGCAGCAGAAATAAGACGAAAGTAATTTAGGACTTTTCTTGTAAATTCTATAACTTTGCAAAGAAAGGTCGTGTAAAGCTCGGAGATGTCTCATTTTAATCAGAAATTTGCGGCCTACAATCATGCCTCATTAAGAAAGATTCTGGTTATACTTTAGAGTTTCTGAAAAACTAGTTTTGTAGAAAACCGGACCTTCGAAGGGCAAAGCGCAACCCCCATAGTCATATTTGGAATTAGTATGGTCGATAACCTATAACCCACTAGATTCCGAGCAAAAAGCGTTTAATCACCTCGAAAGGTTCCCTCGTCAGCTTTATAACTTAAGAATGTTAAAAGAACCAACCATATAGTTCTTCGAAATAAGATTTCAACATACTTACTCATTCTATTCATATTTTATGTTCGTGCTTTTGTATTTTATCTATCTTTCAATAGTCTCTCTTTTACTCTCTATATCGTTCGATAATTGTCCTTCTTTCTTGAAGGAGGAACATTTTTTTTTGTTTTCATAAAGTAAAAGTCATATATTTAACGTAATCAAATACATTTTTTTAAATGTAGTTTCTTAAACCCACAAATATAAAGCTAAAAATATTCATTTTATTATCCTACTAAATAAAAAAATATTAAAAATTTTAATCCGTACCTGCCTTCAGGTTTCACTTTGTTTAAAAATTGCCATTAGATACAATTACAGAAATAAAGTGAAAAATAGCAGATATCAAAGTGTAAAAAGAATCTTTTTTAGACACTTCCAATTTTTGTTGGTATATGTGTAAACATCTGCTTACAATCATTGATATTCAGTATATTCTGTCATACACGGACAAGTTAGAATAGTAACATCCCACCTTTGCTTAAAGGATCAATATTTTGTTATCAGCATACTATTTATTATACATCTTTTATTATTTTTCAATCATAGTAAACTGAAACGATTTTTTAAAGATATTTAGTGATAGTAAATAAAAACCATTAAAATATTAGCAAAAATTGTCTGATTAAATCAATTCTATCGATCGAATTCTCTATCAGTAACATGAGAAAATAGATTATAGAAAAAGAAACAAAAAAAACTCACTTTGGTTCATAGAGTCGTTAGAAAATATACACACACACACACACACATACATGAATAGCAATTCTTTTAGATTACCAGAAAAACAATGTCGATCAAAAAAGAGAGAAAAAAAATTGATTAAATACACACATCCTAGTGGGCAGTTTCTAAGGCAAAATAATAATTTCTTTATAGCATAAGTACCTGATAAAAATATATTTTTCTTCAACTTTTTTTTTGTTTAACTTTCAACTCTCAAATTGTGTTTATATTGGATTTTAGTACGACTGAATAGCAAAAAACAAAAGACCCTTTTACAGATAAGATTTTCCATTCTTCTAAAGGGTTTTTCCCTCACCAATCACACTTCTCTCAAATCGTTTATGGCCGATACATTCTGCGAGTCAATGGTGTCATCTGTGGAGAACGCTGTTCTTTATTGGCCCTTATTATTCATACTGAAGCACATGCAACAATAAGATTGGAAAAAGCATTCGTATATAATGCTGCACAGTTTTTCAATAAAAAACAAAAAAATAGTTATTCTATTTGATAGTAAAAAAAAGCGTATAGAAAAAGTTTCAAAACAATTCGGATCAGTAATACTTAAGAAGAAAGCAGAAATACAGCATGAACCAGAAAAAAAAACCTATAATCGATTTAGACATACCATTCTCGTGTTTCAACATTTCTCAATTTATCATTTGACATCAATTTATGATGTTTATGTCCATTTGATGTTTCATCATGTCCTCCATTGACTTCTAAATATGTTCCAAAATTTTTACTTTCATCTATTTTATATGATCCTTCATCTCGATTACGATATTTACAAATAGCATAAATAAGTAGACATAATACCAAAACACAGGCACTCACAATTCCAATAATAAGACCAATATTTGCACGTTGAATTGGATTTGTTTGATTTGCAAAAAAGGATGTTGTAATGGTAGTCGTTGTTTTAGTTAAAAATGGTGTCGAAGATAATTCATCTTTTTCATTCGATGTCATATTAGAATTAATCAATTTTATTGTTTTATCATTTTTTATTGTTGGCAATTTTATTAACAATTGAAATAATTGAACATTTGGATAACTAAATAAAATTTGTCCATACGTTGATGATGATATTGAAGGTGAAAATAATTGTGAAAAATCTTTTTCTTGTCGACAATAAGTTAAATATGATTTAGTCTTATTTTTTCCGAGATTATTATCATTCAATTTTTGTGCTAATATTGAAGAATAAAAATAAAATACAGATTGTTCATCTAAAGAAAGGGAAGAGTGAAGTAGTTATTGTTGTTGTTATTATTATTATTCAATAAATATTTGTAAAGTATATTTTGAAGGAAAAACGAAAGAAGAAGAAGAAAAAAAAAAGAGGAAAATAATTTTTTAAAAATATATAGATGATAGAATGATGATCGTCGAAATAGATGACGATGATAAGAAAAACAAAATGTTTGGATATAGAATATCAAATGTTTTTGTGTTAATAAGACTAAAAGAGCACTCGTTTCTCCCTCTCCTGTCTCTCCTGTGTGATAATAGTGTCAGGAAAATAAGAGAATAAGACGAACACACTATCAGTGACTTGTGTGTGAAAGAGAATGAGAAAGAGAGAAACTCTTTTCTTTTCTTTTTTTTGTTGGTTTCCAAAAGGTTTTCCTTCTTCCTCTTCTTTTTTCTTGTCTTTTTTTGATTATTCTAATTTTCTTGTTATAAAAAAAAGGAAGGAAAAAAAAAGAAAACCATCATTGTTGGGGAGAGGTTTTTTTTCATTCTTATTTGATAGACATGCTGTCATTCAGGAAAAAAATATTGTCGTACGTTAGAGAGGACTGACATTCACGGATGAACCACTGTGTATATATATATATGTAGATATCATGAGTGAGATAATCTATTATACTAAACAAAGCGTTCAAAAAATATAGGTCTATCAATCGTATTAATTAAAGATTAATTTTGAAAAGAGACTTTTGTCTAAATTCTTGACACATTTTTCGTCTGAAAACACTTTCTCAGACATTAATAATAAGTTGAACTGTAAAAAAAGAAAAAAATAGCTCACATTATTATCTATTTATTTTCGTAAATAAATAGACAGACTAAGTTACTTTATATAAAAACACATTTCAAATAATGATGATTGTTCTTTCTCTCATCGAGTAGAGTTATAAAACTAAGTCTTACAATATATTAATCTTTTTCTTACTTATTCAAAAGGAAAAAAAATCGATAAGCGTAAGTAATTCTAACTGGAAGTTTATTTCAAACTTATTCTAACAATAGTGTCAACTTTTATATGCATGATCTACTTTTCTAATATTAATTTGAATTTCGAAACAAAATTTACTATATGTTAACATCTAATTTACTTACCGTCTAATAAATATTGTGTATGCATAACTTGACAAGTGGTTGTAAATAAAACACGCAATTGTGAATTATTATTCACTGATAATGGTTCAAATTGTCGATTGTCATTTGCATTAAGAAGTGGTAACGATAGATTTAATAAACTTTTAAATAACAAATAATGTACAAATTTGAAGAAAAAATGCATTGTTAATATCAAGAGAAAAAATGGTATATATTATAATCAAATTTTAGTAGATCTAAACACATAGAATATTAATAAAAACAAAATTATCAATTCTTTTCTTCAATATCATCGAATATGAGATACAATAGTTAAATTATAGATTACAGTTTCATTAGAATTATTAATAGATTTACTCATCATAATTTCTTTTCCAAACAAGATCATTGGTACTCTGAAATTGTTTTTAGTTAGATTTTCTAGACTAAGAGTTAAAATTTCAAATAACTATTTCATCTAAAAACAAAATCAGATATTATTTACTTACATAGAATTAATTGGATATTTCATTCTAGATTATGATATGGAATAATATTTCGATTAATAATAATATATTTTAATCATATATAGCTCACATTCGAGATGTTATACGAAAAAATATGATTAAAAATCAAAGATGATTTAGATATCTTATACAAATTAATTATACTATCGGACACTATAAAATGACTATATTCAAAATTTTGTTTTTCTTCTTTTGTCTTCTTTACCATCGGGAGTAATGATATATATGTGTGTGAGTATGTATGTGTATGTCCTACACTGTTAGTTAATCACGGTCAAGTAGTATCTAAATTAAAAAGATGTGTGATCTGTCTAACATTTTTTTTAATATCTATTTTTCTTTTTTCTTTATTGCTAAGACTAGTGTATACTCTATACGAAAAAAAAAAGTAGAATCAAAACCAGCTGCTTTTTTCAATACCAATATTCAGTGAACTTTTTTTTAGTTCATCTCTATCTATTTGCATAGAAAAATGATCCATCCATCTAGATCTATGCGTAAATTAGTCTCAACGACTATGTATGATTTATTTAAATAATACTAATAATGATGTCAGGCATGTGTCAGGGTTTCTTTGTCGGCAATTAATCTAATTTTCATACATCAACTCAATGACTCTATAACTAAAACTGTATACTTGATCAAAATTAGCAGAGAATCACCAATTAGATACCTGTCTGAACAATATGACATAATATTGCATGAATCTATGGTGAACAATTTTATATATCAGCACTCATACTATTGTTTTACATTTTGAAAATTTTTTTTTGAAAAATTGAATGATATTCTCATCATAAATTGTTTCCATCTATCCACATTTTCTTGTAGACATTTTTATTTTAAATAGTCAATATCAAAAGAAAACTCGATTACTATATTATTACTAAACGTGTGTTAAAACAAAAAGTTTAAATGATTGAATATCAGTTGGTACGACAAAACAGACAGAGAGAGGTGACGGAGAGAATTAGAAGTGGTGGAAACGAAATTTTTTATAGAAAAACTGAAAATAAATTAATTTTTCCTTAGGAAGACCTTATTAAATCAATTTAAATTAAATTAATACTAAATGTAAATATCAAATTATTTTTTCTTTTACTTGTTCTACTTTGTTTTGTTTCACTTCTAGTATTTACTCACAAAATTTTCTACTTTTATCTGCTTTAACAAACCGGCACCAAAATTGGCTTCCGAGAGACGGTAGAGGTTTGACTCTGAGAGCCCCGTATATTTCAATGGAGTGTCTCTAATTATCTCAAAGTACTCTATATCGTATTAATTGATTTGATGAATTTAGATTTTATTATTACTGATTGATTTCATTTCACAAAATTCTAAAGAAATTATCCGTTTAACAACAAAACGATGAGATGAATTTTGTGCTTTAGTGTCGGTCTCGTAGTTGCTCGAAAACGTCTTTGTTCGCAAGTGTTATGTGCGAAAAATGTCATGCATGTGTTGTGCACAAGATTACACTTTTTTTCATATCTTATACTCTAGAATCTACAGAGGCGTCACCCTTATTGCTCTTACTGTTTCTCCATATCTGAAAACAGATATAAAGCCTACGTCTAGATGTCTGGTGCAATTGTATATACAAAAACCAACAACAAATAGTAAGTTTTTAGCTTTGATAATCAAGTATAGTGCAAAAGACATGAATAAAATATATCAAGATGATTTATTAGATTAAAACTTTTGTAGTTGCAATAGTTCTTCATTAAATTAGAAAATAGAGACGACATTCTAAGAGATTGTAATACTTGGCGGGTGTTAATGACTTCATCTTCTTTATTACTAGTTGTGTGTTTTTTTCATCTCAAATAATGAAAAATTTATCTGTCGAAAAAGTATACGGTTGTAGTACGATTCATCGAAATTTAATTATTGCTTTACCACAAGATCGTGTGGCGTATGTTGCTGGATCCTATCTGGTCATACATAGTTGTAAAACAAATGAACAACATTATTTACAATTTTCAGCTATTGAACTCTTATATTTATCATTAACTGGATCACTAATGGGTATATAAGGATATTGTTTGAAATAAAATAAAAACTTGCTGAACAAGAGAACTACGATTTAGACATTTTTTTAAAGATAAAAACGATAGTCAAGAAATATTCTAGAAAAGTTAAATAATCTGATGTGCTGTATAATCTCGCAGTTTTTCTCACTTTAGGAGTGATTGATCGTACAAATCAAGATGAGACGCGTGTACATATCTACGGGACAATTCCCATTCATTTAGTTTATGTTATTGAACCCGATCGTTTTGGCTCGTTTATTGGTTTAGCAATAAATACATCGGATAATATTTTGATGATTTTACATTCAAAACCTGCTTATATGATCACTATTCAAGAAATACAATATGATCAACAAGAACATGAAGATTTTAATATTGTTGATATTGGAAGTGTTCGCGCTGTACATGGTCCGGTATTAAATCAAATGACAAAATGTGATGTTGTACCACATGCATTTATGATTAGTTTTTGTCCAAAATCAAATATATTATTTTGTGTCAGTGGTGAAGCACTATTCAAAACCTATGTTATACGAAATCAAATTGTTGAACAAGAAATTGTTCATTTTAGACCAGAATTTTATACATTTATGTGTCATGCATGGCTAGATGAAAACAGTATACTAGGTATTTTATCTCTCGTGTCTACAGTTCTGTGTTATAAACAATGTTTGTTTTTCCTATATTTCGAGTTGCCACCCGATATGGTCACATTTTTTGGATATCTGAAGGTTCAATTCGTTCTGATATTAGTCTTGATGTCATTACAATGGATTCTGAACGACTATCTCACTCAATTTCAGATTTGAAAATGTCAAAGGTTACAAAATCTTCCACATCACCGAGCAAAGGTATGTTTATTAAGGTATGTCGTTTCTCTCTTTTATATCAGCTAGACTAGAAATTTTTGCACAGTTATCTCGTCCACCAGATTGCACTTTATTTCTATCGATATTATTTTTCAATTGTAACTAGTTTTAACAATTTACGTTTTTTCATTCAGATGTCCTTGAGATGATTAAAGATGAGACATTTGTAAATATGTTGAATGAAGCAACAATAGCCTCTCAACAACAACAATTACGGATATCTGGTCCATTATACGATGGTTCTATAGTATCCGCACAAAATATTTCTTATCTTGATATAGCTGTATCTGATCAGTTGTTACCTTATTTCATTTGTACATATCAAGAATATTTTCTCGTATTTGCTCCCATTCAAGATGAACCATATTTTGATGTCATTTATCGTCATCAATTAATTAGTTCTAACAAACATCATAATGAAATTTTTGATGTAAATAAAATATTAAAAATATCTTCAATATGGGAATTTAAAACAAAAGTGTATTTATTAACTGACCGTAATAATATATTTTGTTATTATTTAACAAAGAACACGGATGTAAATGCTGAACAAATACTATCCGTTGAAGAAGATTATATTTATGGTTTTCATTCTTATTCAGTTAATAATATCGGATTAGGTATTCATAAATCGTGGTTAATCTCAATGGGCGGAGATAATATGGTTCGAATTATAGATTATAAAGATAATAGTAGAGAAATAATATCAAAATCTATTCGAGAGGGTGCCTATTCAGTAAGTGGTAAGCTTATACAGTCCTTAAGTCTTATCGATGTATTTTAAAATGTTTCTTGGTTTATTTTTAGGCGCTGATCCATATTGTTTACACGTAGTATTAGGTGGACATAATCGTTTACAATTATATTTGATAACAAATTATGAATTACGTATGGTACATCAATTTGAAGCAAGAGGCGTCAAAGAACTAAATATGAGTCAATGTGGTCATTTAATCGCGGCTATTATGAATAATTCAGTTCAAATTTATTCTACAATAACATTGCGTTTACTTAGTCAACTACGTGGACATGTCGGAAAAATAAAACAAGCGGTATGGAGTAAAAATGATTCAACATTGACCACAGCAGGTAGTGATGGAATGATTTGTATTTGGAATGTATTCAATGGTAAGACGACACATTAATATGTCAGTCAAAATCAGATAATGATTATGAGCTATGTTACGTTTATTAGGTATGCGTGTGGGTGAAGTTATAACAAAACAATTTCATTATTTGGGTATTGCCGTAACGTCTGATAACAGTAAAATGTATGCAATAGCCTCAGATGCTTCAATAAAAGTATTTAGTTCAACAAATTTAGAGAACGAATGGAAAGTGGAACAAAGATATCAACCAACGGCCATTTCACTCTCAAAATCTGAAAAATTACTATTTGTTGGTTTGTCAAACGGGACAATACGTATATATACATTACCGTTAGCACCAGAAGGATACATTGACATTCCAGCACATGGCGGACCTGTACGACGATTAATACCATCAAACGATGATGTTTATTTAGGTAGATAAAATTACTCTGCGAATCAACTGAATGCCAACAGACTTTTTTTAGCGTCGATTGGAGAATCAGCTTACGTTCTGTTGTTTAAATATAAACCTGTTTTTGGTAATAACAGAGACATTGATCATTTTCAATGCCAAATAGAGCAACAACAAAGGAAAGATCCATCAGTCACATCTTTGTTACCGAAATTTCATCATATACTCGTTACAAAAGCCGAATTTGATGAACAAAATCGTAAATTATTTGATACTGAATTGCGTATCAACGAAGTTCAAACGGAAAATGACTTAAGGTTACGTTCAAAGCAAATACAATTTTCGAAACATTTAAATTATTATCAAAATCATTTTGAAACACAAATGAAACAATTATATCATCAATATGAAAAGCTGAAATCCGAGACACAAGATAATATATGTAAATATAATGAAGATGGTAAACAATTAAGACAGCAATATGAAACAATTGAAGCGCACGCAGAAGCAGTTTATGAAAATATAACCATGAATTCGGTAAGTCTAGTTAGTGTATCTAATACTACGATGATATCATCAAGGTTTACTTCTTTTTTTTTCGTAATCGCAGCTTCGTCGTATTCAAAGTAAACAACATGAATTAAAACGTTTAAAATCTGTATATGAGAAGAAATTGGAAAAATTAGGTGTGGAAGAGCAGGCCGATGTTCAAGATGTTGTGAATAAAGCGAACACGTTGCTAAATACACGATGGCGATGTGGCATAAAAACATTGGAAACAATACAACAACATGAAAATGAGATTAATGCATACATACGACAAATGGAACAGGATATCGATGATGAAGTTGAAAACGTCAAAGATGGATATCTACGAGAATTAGCAACATCCGAAGCAAACTCAAAACGGCTAATTGTTAGTGTAAGTCGGGCACGAAGCCAATAGACATTCTAAAATTAGAATGAAATGTGGATGTTTTTCGTTCATGGTATTCAGGAAATGGAGACGTCGTTGATACTTTTTCTTGAAATGTATGTATAAAAAGATGGTTCACAATTTCTTCTTTGCATATTAGAAGACCAAGCTCTCTAGTTTTCAACATTCAAAAGTTATTCCAAAAACGGTCATGGATTATTCCTTTTTTAAACGGACAATAGATGATTTTTTTTCTCAAAAAAAGACAATACAAATAGACGACGCTTCTTTTGTACAAAGATACATTGGTTGAACAGAACAGAATCGTCAGTTTAGGAGACAAACTCCTCGCTTCAGTATTATCACCAAGCCACTGAGAAAACTCTTCGGAATTTCTACGAAAATCGTCTCTATTTAACGATAAAAGGAACTAGTTGAGTAAGAGAGATAAGGATAGAATAGTGATGAAATAGAAATTGATAGCTTCTGAAGAAATCTCTCTCGTTCTTCAAATCTAAGGTATATGTCTCATGTTTTCTCATCAGTATGTTCTGTTACAACTCTGTATTTTCTTGACTCTTGACAATTTCTTTTCAACTTGTCTTGCCTAGAATCGTCAAGAATAAGAAAATACTTTTCAAATAATCGAAGGTTTTCAAGTTCAACATATTTTTTTCTCTAACGTCTTTTTTCTATTTTCTATAGGTGAGTACTTTGCGAAAACGTTATAATGCTATAGTTGTTCGTATGGAATCACGTGATGTTGAGAAAACAGATTTGCAAACAGAGGTGAAAGAATTACACGATAAACAATTTGAGCTAACGGATCATTTGAATCATTTTTATCAAATAATTAAAAAAAAGGAAGATCGAATTGGAACTCATGATGTTAAACTTCACCGGCTACAACATCACATTTTACATGTCGAAAAACGAAAATATGTTTTAGATTATAAAACAAAATCGTTACTAGAACGCATTGAACCAATTGACCAAGAAATAAATCGTTTGAAACAAAATTCAGGTGAAATTGAACAACAACTTACCCTACTTAAACGTCAACAAAAAGAGTTGATTTCACGAGAAAAAGATTATGAGTATAAATTACACGAATCGCGTAGAGATTTAAAGACAGCCCAAAAAATGCACAAGAAACTGTGGAGAATTGTTAAACGTCAAAAAGAGCTTGTTAAAAAATCACTGAAATTGACTGAAATAACATGTACTACACGAGGATTCAAAGAAGATTTAGAACATTTTGTGAAGGAAATGTGTGATATGCTGAGGAGAGAACAAATATTCGAACATCAAATAGAAATACATGGATTTTTAAAAGAATGGACACACCAAAGAGGATGGCTATTAAATCAAGTATGTATTAAAGCACGAACAATGCACTATAGGTGCACACTAAAAAATAATATGTCGCATGTGTCGCAAATTGCGATATAATGTGCAACATAATCATCTGCGACACCGGGAACCACTTGCGACACATTTTTTCCATTGAGGCTGCGACACATTCCGCTGAGTATTTTTACAATAAAGCAAACAGTGGAAATTAAGTATTTTTGATCTCTTATTCGCTTTTAAGAATATATATAGTTCGTTTTGGGTGCATTACGCAATGTCGACGAGTTCTATCTGCTCCTAATATTCACAAGTCTTCAAAATATTTAGTTTCTCGGATCTGGAATTAATAGCCTAGTCAAGGCCTCGGACTGGTTGGTTTTCGTCAGAGATAAAATATTTAACATAGAAAAAAGGTTAAAAAGACTTAGACAGGGATCTCTGTCCACGAATAAAATCAATGCAAAATTGAAAGAACTTAAAAAGCCCGAAAATTTTCTTATCTTTTACGTATTAGCGTCACCTATAGCTCATCAAAATTGAGGAGAAGCCGAGAAAAACCCTAATAAAGTCTATTGAAAATAGTAATGCATAAAATTTAGCAATTTTCTGAACAGAGTAGATCCTCAAATAGCCTCAAGAACTATGTCTAAAGGTTCTTAGTAACGGCGACACAAACATGCGACACCATTTTCTCACAGGAGCTGCGACACATTTTACTGCAGCACAAAATGCGATACAATATTTTTTACTGTGTGTCTTGAGTATTGCCTACTAGGTATGCAATAGTTACGGTTATCACCAATGAAGTACTGTAATTAATTGTTCTATAACTGTAATTGGTGCACACCTATCCCTAGCTCCTCCACGTTCATCTTCCTTTAGATACACATTTAAATTTGTCTGAAAAATTTAAACTTCGTCGTTGGAAAAATCTAATTTTTCTCTAATTCCATACATAAAAGTTGCTTTGATTTTTGAAATTTTGCAAAATAATAAAACCTTAGTAAAACAGTGTACAAATTTATGCTCTTGTTAAAGAAGACAAACAGACATCGGTGGAACTCAGATCCTTGAATAATAGAAAGAAAGTTATTTTTATGGCTTCACCTTTTCTTGACTTTGTTAAAAATTCAAATTTACTTTAGTTCTAGTAGTAGGTGCTAACATTTTTATTTTTCTGATTCTGTTTTTTCTAAAAATAATATTTTTCCTGTTGTTCGCTTTGTGGAATTTTAGTTGTGAGACCCAGGCAATATATCTATATAGAGTTACGTACATCACTTTTCTCAAAAGATACATAAAATTTAAATTCGAACCTCAAACTTATTGAGTTGGTTACACTAACATCGAATAATATTTAGATGGATACTTAATGACATCTTTTGGACTATTAGTAGCTATTATTAAGTATCCATCTGAATATTATTCGATGTTAGTATAACCAACTCAATGAACTTCATCTATTGGCTGTATCAAATTTTCATTCGTGACCGTTGAGTGTTAGCGTATTTCAAAAATACTCAAGATCTTCTTTAAGTTTCATCTATTTTTGTTATGTCTGAACTTAGATGCATGATCTAACAAAACGTACTGAATTGGCTGAACAGTTTCAATTACGCGCTCAACGTGAACATCGTAAAATCATCGCACCATTTGCTCAGCAATTGGATGAATTACATAGAATATTCGATACAACTCAAAAGCATATACAAAAGCGTTTATTTAATTTGAAAATAAAAACCAGTGAACAAGTAGAATTTTTACGACAAGTCTCAGAAACTATACATGGTAATGAAAAATTACATATGAGCATTGAAAAAGTGAGACAAGTCGAATTACACGTAGAAATGCAAGAGAAAGAAATTGAACGTTTAAGCTCAATCGTATTTCGTTTTCAATATTGTCAACCATGTTTAGATGTTAATAAAAAAATTCTTGGAGTCGAGATGACAACAACAACACCATTGTTAGCACCGCTGCCAGAAATATTATCACCATTAAATGTATAGATAGATGTTTCATTATGTCCATTCAAATGTGGCTGATTAATATTCAATCACAATTTGTGTCAGTTATTATGCTCGTATAACATCTTTTTTGCTGATGTCCACAAGCTGTATTCGATTTTATGACCTATACGACCTTCTCCCATATTGACAGTTTATTCTTTGTTTTCAAAACAAAACTAAGGAGAATTCTCTTAAACAGACGCGTTTTATGTATAAAATATCGCATACAGTGAAGAAAATTCGAGAGAAAATTTTGATTAATAGTCTGGATCAATAAACTGTCGATTATTTACCATTTTGCAAATTCCTCGCATCTAATGATTTATTATACTGTTCTATACAAAACTGGTTCACGTGTCTGTTCTAATGCAACGGTTTTATATAATATCGATACACAAAAGTACTATTTCCTTCGGTTGATTCTTCTAAGTAGTGAAGTGACTACTGTTTTATCGTTCTGTTGTTATTCGTCCACTGCGAGTACTTAAGTGGACATCAGCAGTCATGCGCATAATCGGGAAAAAGTTTTAAAATCCAACTTCATATTCCTTGAAGTGCAGTGGCATTCAAATGAAAGCTTTTTTTGCCTTTTTTTAACTCAAAGATAAGCACACTTGGTTTTTCTATATTAAATTTAGAAACAGCTTGCATTATTGAATAAACTACTATTCAAGTCGATAAAAGTATTAATAAAAAGCTATGAGAAGAAACAGAAAATACATCATATTCTTTTTATTCATGCTAATAATTTACTTCTGCCCATATTTTTGACATATTTGTTTAGTTTTGAATGGACGAGTGTAGTCGGACATGGAGGATGATAATCAGTTATCACAAACATTTTATAACAGAACTACACATGTTTTATTCTGTGAAGTGTATGAAATTTGATAAATAAATTTGTTTGGATGTTCAACTGCTGACTATGTGTATAAAGACACGTTCATTAGGTCAGAAATGATGGTCAATTATGAGCATAATTACACAATTAACGTATAGTGTTTCATAATTTTTCACACAATTTCTGCCACTATGTCATAACAACTTTTCAGGCGTTATGATGCGTTGATTTATTACTGCAACATGTATAGTCTATATATTTTGATTTTATTTACATTTAACAAATATTATCAGGAAACAATTGAGAATTTAGAGGATGATAATAATAGCAATTGAAAAGGTAGGACGTGCATGTAAGTGTGTGTATATTTGCCTATTAGTACTATGTGACATAGTCATTAATTAACTGCAAAGAGAATGAGAGAGAAAGCCACATACAATCACACCTTTTTCTTCAAATAAAAGTATTGAGTTTAGTAGTAAAATTTTGCTAAAGCTGTGTAGTTATGAAATCATTTAAAATCTTAAAAAATTACTAAAAATCTGCAACCACGTTAGTATTTATAGACTATTATAACATAGTTAGATTTTTATATTAATTTTTCATATAGCCATAAAACGCAAAAACAACAGTTAATTATGAGACAAGACATTTTTTTAACGGAAAGCATATATGAAAAAATCAGGTAACAAAACATCGCATATTGACTTATACATGTTAACGGAATAGATAGGTCAAAGTTTAGGTCAAAGCTTTTTTACTTTTATCCTACAAAGTGCAACTAGGAGCAGAGTTTAGAGGGTAGGCTTTAGTTAATCCTGCGGGATTATATTGCTTACAAGCTGAAGTTATAAAAAAAGTTTTTGATCGATGTAATATTTTATTAGAATGTCCTTTCCAGTTTCAATGAGAGGAAAATACGAGATAAACTTTCTGTGCGGGGTCTGATACTTCACGAATAGATGTCTTTACTATATCAGATGTACTTTGTTGGAAAAGTGTCAAACATCTATTATATTTGATCTCTTCTAGAAAAGAAACAACGATCTCTTGTGAAATCATCAACGGTTTATGACCATCTGCACATAATTTCAATCCTTAAACAGATTTTTCTGTTCTTTCTGCCCTTGTCACTTGTTCTTCTTTGGGAATTGGTTAGTTCTTTCTATTCTATATAATAATAAAAGGCAACAAGAAAGGAGATATCTTTTTCGCATAGGCCTGTTATTCAGTGTCATAGGTGGTAAATGTCTCCCTTTTTCTGTTGTTTTCATCGTTTCACTAGGCTATATCTACTATGTTCTACTCCGGTCAGATGTGGGCAATGTCCCTACACTCACTATAGGAAAGATATTTGTTATTTATTAGGTTCTTAATGATTCACTGTAGATGCTGTGTATGCCATTTTTTTCTTGTTCCCTCTTATGCAAGAATGTGTATAGGAGAGACAGAACAGAAGCTCATTCTACGTACATCTGTGATTTGATTCTGACTTTCTATATTTATAAGAGAAAGAAAGAAAAGACGAACATTATCAATTTATTATATTTACAATGCATTATGTATGAGTGAGTACTTCTGCTGCTGCTGCCTTATGAATTGCGATTTCTCTCAAGTAACAACACCCATCTTTTTTTTTTTGTGTTCCAGTTACACAATTAAATGACACACAAAAAAGAAAAACTATTTTCAGTTCATATACGAAAGCAGAATGAACTAGATTATGAGCCAGTTGCCACCGCGTAGTTTTGTTGTGTATATATGTGTCATCATTGTTTTTCTCTCCTCTTTATTCATTTTTAGATCTAGATAATAGTCTAAACGGATTCCTTTTTTCTTCATTTCTATTTTGTTGTGTATACGACCTTACATACACATCATTGTTGTACACACACATTTCGATAATCCACAGAGTTGTATGTGTGTGCGTGTGTGTGACATAAAACTTGTCTGATCAAATAGTAAATAATTATTACATCTTCATTCTCTATTGTGAGCACAGTGTATGTGTGTATGATGGTATAACTAAATATTTAACCAACAAAAAAAAAAATGGATGCTGATTTAGCCAAAAAATTACAAAAACGTATTCAGCGAATTGAATCGGTAGATGAAAATGAAAACAATCGACCAGCTGATGTACAAACACCAGTGGAACAATCATTGGATATGCCAAGTTATCAACGAGTGTTTAATCCATTTAATGAATATAAAGAATTTACAAGAAAACAAATTCAAGGCTTAATGCAAACATTTGAAAAGTAAGAATACTGAGAGAACACAAAACGCAATTTAATAGCGGCTTCTCTCTTTTTTTGTGTGAATTACCAGTTTATTTAATATCTCAAAGTTAGTCTAAAACAAAAAATCGTTTGTAGGAGATTTTGTACCGTACACTTATCTGTTGCTTCTTATTTTTATTCGTCTTAGATTTGATACAGACAAAGATAAATATTTAAATTTTAATGAACTTAAATTTATGATGGAAAAATTAGGCATACCTCAAACACATTTGGGTATATTGAGACAATAGAGTTTGTAGATGGTTATATTCTTGTTAAACTTTTTTCTTGCGTTTGTTTAGGTTTGAAAGATATGATCAAAGAAGTGGATGAAGATCATGACGGAATGATTTGTTTTCGTGAAGTAAGAACGATGTAGTATTAAAGTGCTAATGAAGGAAATTTTTGCTTTATATCATCAACTTTTTAGAAAAAACAAATGCTGTCACTAATACGTAAAATTTGTTAAGATTCTATTTTTATTCTCAGTCTTATAACGCAAAGCTGCTCTAAGCTATGATAGGCTCACAAATAAAAGTATTGTAAGATCGTGGTAAAAACTATACGTCAGCTTTTCTGTTTTCAGAAACCAGGTTTAGAAAAATACTTGCATTTATCACACTATCAAGTCTTTTACTATTTTTTTAGTTTCTTCTTATATTTCGTAAAGCGGCATCGGATGATACACCAGTTGAATCAGTCTTACACCAATTATATTCAATGTTAATGGAAATTGATGTAGCTAAAGAAGGTGTTGGAGGAGCAAAAAATTTTTTTGAAGCAAAAGTAGCTGCTCTAACAGCTGGTGATAAATATCAACGTGAAATACGTGAAGAACAAGAACAACGAAAACGTGAAGAAGATGATAAACATCGACGAAAAATGTCATTTCAAAATCGTTTGGCTCTATTTCAATCTTAAAATTATGGATTTCTATTTATTTTTTTATTACCAACTGTTCATAGTGGACCAATACACGAAATGAAAATCTATGTGATACTTTTTTTTTGTGCATGTGATTAGATATTTATATTTGTGCAAATATACTCGTAATACTTTTCTTTTGTTTTTTGCTACTATTACTACTATTGTTATTCCTTCTAAAAATTTATAAACTTTTAAACATATGTTATCACTGTGTGAATGTTCCGGTGAGTGCAAAAAACAGGAAGTAAAGAAACATTTCTTGTTTTATTAAGATCGATGTAACATGTCTTCATTTTAACTCCTGCAAAGCGTTCTTTCTTTTAGGAACATCAAACTCAGATGAACTTATTTTAATTATGTATATTATGAAACAGAGATATGTTAGTTTATTTGGATTTCTCTAATAACGAATCATTATGTGTATTTTATCATTCTGAACACTTTTTCTCATAACAAAGAGAATATGGAATTAGTCGTAGAAATTCTGTTTCTATTTGTTTATACTTTTGATTATATTGAAAATGGGAATGGCTAGCATTGATACTTACTCATTAATAATAAAAAATATGCAATCTTATATATTCATGATGCTAATAACAATCTCTCTCTTCTCTGAGATTAGCTACCACTCTCTGGTTGAGAATTCTTGATTACTATTCAACACTTGAACAAATAAATATGTAAAACTAAGTAAAGAAAACCGTTCAGATTTGATAAAGTAAATTCTTGTTTAACGGTTCTGTGCTGATGATAGTTGGGGCACGTTTGCTTACATATTGGTCTGTAAACTTTATACGGCGGTATTAAATTGTCTTTCTGCGCTCTCACCCCGAGTTATTGTTTCATATTTTTTTTATGAGCCACTACAGCAATAAAACCCAAGCTTTGATGTTCCAAGACGGTTGTTGCAGCATTCGGTTAATAGAACGCATCTGAAGCTAAGATTCTTAAATATATGAATAGTTTTTGTACAACGGCGCTGCAAATCAACGTATAATTTATTTCAACTCGAATGTAATTTTCTCAATGTTTGACGCTGTTTTTCATGTTGAACTCGAATACAAACACGACTACCAGTCTCATTTTAGATCCTAATAATTACAGACAACGTTTGTCTAACTAAAATCTTTTGTGTCAACTTTTCCAGCAAAATGTGGTGGAAAATATTTTATCTTCTATTACCTTTTCAGAAAAAATATCGTTCCTGTGTTTCTGGAAGTGGTGTCAACTGCAAACGTTTCTTGCTCTATTCGATGATGTTTGTAAGAATTCCTTTAAATACTGTACAGTCAAAGATATTCGATAAAACGTCATTTGCATGCTAGTTTTGACTGTTATGTTTTAGTGCGTATAGCCCAGTGCTTGTAACACATTGTGTGAAAAATTATGAAACACTACATGCTACCTGTGTAATTATACTCATAATTGACCATTATTCCTGACCTAATGAACGTGTCTTTATACACATAGTCAGCAGTTGAACATCCGAACAAATTTATTTATCAACTTTTATACACTTCACAGAATAAAACATGTGTAGTTCTGTTATAAAATGTTTGTGATAACTGATTATCGTCCAGCTACAGTCGTCCATTCAGAACTAAACATATATGTCAGTGCTTTTGCTCCTCAATTATAGGACGCATATCCTTTATCTGGTTCAATATCAAATATATACCACAGCCATCAAACCTTCAGCATCAAAATTCATTATGACATATAGCGTCCAACTAGTATGTGCTACAACTACTGGTTGTACACACTAAACACATCAGGAGTGAGTAAAGGCTAATCGTGCAAAAGTGTTGATTTTCATCAACTTTGTATGCCAATAATAAATAGCGATCCTAAAATGAGACCTCGTGCTATTTATCTCTTTTCAGTAACAGATCTGATGCCTTTTCAAACGTTTTCTTGCAGAACAAAGATGAAATGCGCAAACTAAACAAAAATTGCATTATATGACATATTTGATAAATCTTTCTCGAACAAAAACTTTCATTGAAGATTTATTTGTAGTCAGCGGAAAGATATTTATAAGCATTTTTGAAAAAAGTTGTGTTTCGAAAACTATTTTTGTCATATTTATTTCTAGTGACATTTGACAAAATATATCACGCTGTTTCAAAATGTTTCTCAAGTGCAACATTTTTGTGAAAAAATGCTTAAGAGTATCTGCAGGCAGCAAATTTTCAATGAAAATTTTTGTTCGAGAAAGATTTGTCAAACGTGTCATATAGTGCAATGTTTTGCACAAAATACGGAATAACATTTGTTCTACAGAAAAATGTTTGAAAAGGCGTCAAATCTTCGAAATATGGCTAAAGTTTTTCGAAAAGCGAAAACAGCCGCCATTCAGATCTTTCCCAAATAATAGTTCTAAATCTGTAGAACTTAAAAAAAAATATACGTGTGAATTATTGGGATTAGGGGAAGCATTTATTGCAACATCTGAAAGATGGTGAGCATCAGCATTTTTTGCAAAAATTCGCTTCAGACTTTGCTAGATTCTATTCGTTGTTGTCCTGTCTTTATGTATTTTTAAATTTTTCTTATATATTGCACTTTAACAGTGCTAGTAAATGGTAAAGCATTTTGCAAGAGTGTGTGCTCTTGACTACTTGTCATTCTGTAGAAAAACGTACGATATCGAGAAGGGAATTTGATGAAAAATCAGTCATGTTGATCGTGCCTCGGTCCGTAGATAGCCAGAAGCAGAAGATAGTTTTGAGACTTCTACCGCAGTTGTATCTAGAATTGTAGGATAGACAATTATACAATTTACTAAGCCTTTCTACTGAGTTGAAAAACCGTAATCGCTGTGTGGCAGCGCTAGCAAGATGTAGGCTTCTTAGATCAATTCCTAAATATAATTCAAAATTCTCTGAGATTACATATCATAACAATTGGTTCATATACCGTTTGAAAGCATTGACTTTATAAGTATCTAACGTACAGATAGTCTGTCTTCTTCAACAGGTGACAAAATTTAAATTAATATTAAAATGAGAGAGAAGTAAATTAAATTTTTTTCTTTGATAGAAAATATTGTTTTCAAAATACATATGATGTTCGTGATCAGTTCTTTGGACCGCGTTCAAAAATGTATAACTGAATACGCTTCTAAAGGAAAAACACGAGGTTGACATTTTTTCGTTAAGGATCCTCTGCGTAGAATGTGAACAGAAAAAGAAATTTTCAATAGTTGTCGTTTTTCGTTAAATGAATAATCTAAGCGACTTAGAGTTGTATTTAGACCTTTTTTTAGTAACAGAGAATTGCTTCTAGTCTGTCATCTCTGCTCACTGTACCTCGACTCCCTTAACAATTTTGAAATTCATTCAAGAACATATTCGAAAATGAATCCACAAAAGTCATATATAAAGCAGTTGATAACTCGATGAAGAATTATCGATTGATATTTTAAAACATGTTTTTGAGATACAAGGTGTCCCAAAAGTCTGACGAGAAAAAAGTTTTTAATAACTCCGCCATTTCTTAGTCAAACTTCAAGGTTGTGTTTTTGATTGATAGAGAAACGTTCCAAGTTTTATTTCGTACGATTGGAAACTCTTGTTAATATTTGAAAAGATGTTTGGGTTTATTATAGTGAAATTCAGATATTTTGGGACTCGTTTCTAATACATTATGTGCTACAAAATTTTTGAAAAGAACATAAATAATTTTTAATATTAAAATAAAGTAGATGATGACGGCTTTCACATAATGAAATAAGAATTTGCTTTTGTTCAAAAAATGACCGGTTGGTGTGGATTTCTTTAGCCATTGTTATTCCATACTAGCATCTGGAAAAGTGCAAAAAAGTAATAAAAACATTTTTCAGATAAAGTTAACTAATAAAAGGAAAAACTACTAGTGGAATTCTATAGAAAGAAGG